CCCCCCCCCAACTTTGGACCAGACACACCCTTAGTAAATAACATGACAATTAATATTCTTGCTAAAATACACTTTTGGTCTTTGTTTTTACCCCATTTTTATCTTTTTTTGGTCATTTTATAGAGGTAATAAGAGCATAATTTAACCTTATTATTTTTAGATGTTAATTGTCACTCATTTAATGTCAGATTATCATCAACATTACAATTTTAATGTTCAACAAATGGACTGTAACTGTTAGACCAAAATTGGGGAGACTAAAATTATGGATTTATAGATTGACAGACAATTCATGGATTGAAAATTATAGGGGAACAAAAAGGGCTATTTAGCTTATTATTTTTCCAAACTGTGTTTTATGGGTATTTAGTAACACTTAAACCGTAAACTCCAAGTCAAGTTGGTCAATGGTCACTTTGTTTCTTCCAAGAAAGTATTAATTCCCTTTGTTTCGTTTCTTATTTTCTGGGAACCAATGGTTCTTTTTATTCTCTCTGCTGGGTTGTGTCCAAGCTGTGTTACTGTCTGTCTTTGGACTCCTTGCACTCCTGTGCCTGAGTCCTTTCCCCCCAAAACCAGGAAAGTGGAAAATCTGCAATTACCTGGTTTGGTGGTTAATTAAACCTCTATGATTTTTTTTACTGCCATTTGGCCAATGTTTTTCATTGTTTATCTTGCCCCGATGCATTTGCTATTTAATATCATTGTTTTTCCTGCCATGTTTGTTCTAAACCTATTATCTACTGAAAAGTCAAGTCTAACATCAATTAGCTTCTTTAAAAGTTCACATTCAATACGAAGATGCTATTGCTAACTCAATTGAAATGGCACATCAAATTAGATTCATCTAGTAAGTAACAAAAAATCTAACTTAGTAACTGGATGAAATTTATCAAGCTGCTCAACTCCACAAAACTGATACCCCATCATTCCATCTTGCAGAATCAGTAGAAGAGGCTCATAGGAAATTGAGTAATTGACAAATAATTCTGACTGAAGTTATGATGCAAAGCCACAGGTTTATCTTCTGTATAAAAATATTGGGTTAATTTTCAGTTGTATTGCATGACAATGCCAACAATCTCATTACTCTGAACCTTGTTAAAGAAAATATTTACCGAGTCTGAATGTTTTATTGATGTCTCTCATGATAGAGGAGGGAGGACAAGAGAACTATGATATTATACTAACAATCATTTACCAAGCTGAGCCTACCGGTTTACTAATCTAATGTTGCAATTATAAATAAATGACTTCTTGGTATTAACATTTTGTTTTATTCGGTATGAACATTACTAAGTTACAGTTGAGAAGCCTGTATCTCCAGCCTTAAACGAATGTCTACTCTGATAAACACTATGTAGTGATTTTTGCCTTACGGCAATATGGGACCTTCCCGCTGCCTACATCTGCCCCCCCCCCCCCCCTTTTTTTTTTCTTCTACATTATGTTAGTTGCACCTTATTAGTATGGACATATGCAAATGGAAAAGAATATTTTGCCCAGATGCATTTGTTATTGTTATGATTCATCTTCTATTGGTACAGTAGTTGGTCCCAATATCCCATCAACGTGGGCCTAGTCATAAAGCCTAACCTCCCACACTGTAGTTTTCTGGATGGAATGTAACTCGACAGATGCATTCCTGCTTTCCAAGAAACTAGTTGAAACACATTTTTTAGGTATGCAACAGATTAGATGTCCATATTGTATGCCTTATATATTGTAATCTTTTCGAGAAGCATACCATCGAAGATACGACATGTTAAATAATGACATTTTGTTGGCCACTATCAATTCCTTTGAATTTATAAAGAAAACTCAACAATATGATATGACTGATATGGTTATTTGTACTCAAGGCGAAGCTATACACGGTTATTGTACTCAATGCAAAGTCAAGACTCAAGATAACTACGACTATTTGCCTCGACCAAAAATATGATGCTATTGATAAGGTTATTTGTTATTTTTTTATATTAAAAATAATTAATTTTAGAATAAATAATACATGTACAAAGGGGACGTTTGGTATACGGTAAAAAAAATTTGGTTTGATAATCATGATTTTCGGAAATTATAAATCCTTAGAATCATGACTTTTTAGAATGATAAATTTGTTTAGATGGTTATAAATGTTTTTTAGAATGTTTATATTTATAAATTCTACCTGAGAATAAACATTTTTACTGCATTAATCTGATAAATTAAGGTAGCGTAATATTTTTATCATAGTAAAACATTTTCTTTAACTCATGAATGTTAGATTCTCTCCTATTTTCATAAGAATAATTTGGTAAAAATTTTGTAAATGTTTTCTAGGAATGTTAGTTTTTAGAAGATAAACTAAACATGAGAAATTAGCATTTTCATATTCAGATTTTTGGGAAGTAAAAATTTTTGCATACCAGACTCCCTAATAGTATAGAGATCTTTTATACAATCAACTGATTGCAAACTATCTTATAATAAAATTGTTAATTTTTATAATAGTTATACTAAAATTTACGTCAATAACTCTATAACAAGGATATAGTCTTTTATGTCAACATTTTATACTCCTATTTCATATTCTAACTTTTTTTTTTTTCTATTAATGGATCTCTCTTAAGAATGAAATAGGAAACAAATGTGTAAAAAAAATTGTACACTTTATTAATAATATCTACAGCTTTTATTTTATTTTATTTATTTATCAAAAGCATATAGTGTCTTTTTTTCCTTTGTTAGTCAAAGCCAATTTTTTATTAGTTCACATTGTGATTTTAATTTTTTTTAAACTGAGTACATTTATGTTAAATTCTTATTTTAGTATCTAGCTTTTAATATACATATATTTTCAAAATATTTTGTTAACAGTAAAATGAATTACCAAACTTATCTCACTTCAGCTGTGAAAAGTTAAAATAAAAATGGAACCACAATATTAACTACCAAACTATATGCAATCCAAGCTGATGTCCAAGAGACATAATTGTTGATGATTTTCATGATGAGCACTTACCACCTGCATTTGCATATTTGCATTTGCAGGCTGTTGCTTTCAACAATCATCTTGGAAACGCCAAACACCCCCATTGCAATGATGATGTATAAATAGACACCAAAATAGTTGGCAACAAATCAGTAAACGTGGTGTTGCAGTGAATCATTCATACACATCAATAAACGCAGGCAAAAGAGATATTTAATTCTTTGTCAATTAGTGATCTTGAACCATATTGAAGAAGTATTGTTTTTTTTAAGTAATAAATTCAAAGTATAGAAATAAAGTTACACTTATATGCACTCTGCCCGAATACAACGTATAGAAATAGAAGTGTTCTATCTTGAGGAAGGCATTTTTCAAAGTGTGGGGGTAAAAAGGTAAGAGAAAAAAATTTGAGGAATTTCCTCATTTTTACGTAACATAACTGCAGTTTTAACATTTATTTATTTTTTAAAATGTTTGATGTTTTTATTTTTCAATATAGTTTTTTTTAATTTATCTTCTCATAAATTTTTCAACTACCACAATTGAATTTAACAGTAATACATTTATTAATAAAATTTAGGATTTAAAATTTAGTGAAATTGTATAAAAAAAAATTGAAAAACTTAACTTTCATTTTAATTCAATTGACTGAATTGTCAGGTGTCACTCATTTATGCATGTCATGCATTATCTATCCACGTGTTAATCATCCATACATGTCATGTATTATCCACATGTGCACCCTTTGTTGCTACATTAACAAATAATGTGTCACGTAGATACAAGGATTAACTTTATCGATAATAAACTAACAACTAGTTTCAACATGTGTCTCGTTCGTTTTATACCTGTGGAGATCTTTTTTGAATGTTAATGCTTTGGAGAACAAAAGTGCCAATGAATTACACTTTCAAAATAATACTTTTTAATATTGATATATACCCTCATCCTCATCAGTCATAGTCAATCAATTCTTGAAGAGGAAACTTTTGACGACAATCACACCCACTTATTCCATAAATTAATGGACATGATATTAAGAGGCAAGAGCATGGTACTCTTGTGGGAACATAAGTACCAAAGTTAAAAGTGTTCAGAGAAAAAATAGTGTATGCAACAATATATACCATCACTGAATATAACACCATCCTATAAACCTTCAACTCAAATTTGCACGTGATAGCTTTCTTTATCTACTATATTTCTTTATAAGTGGAATATAAGAGAAATAAAAGTTAGTACTTCAATATGCTTATATTTGTCATCCGTGACATTGGAAGATTACAACTAATGCCATGCGATGTAGGAACCTTTTCTTTCATGTTTAATTACACTTTTTGTCATTCATATTTTATAATTTTATAAAAAAATTTTTATCATTATAAACGACTTAAATTAAAATATTACAAATAAAATTATTATATATTATTATTATTATAGTTGTTTCTATTATTTTTGTCGTTATAATCAATATCTATCATTATTACCATTATTATCAGTATTATCACCACTATTATTATCATTATTGACGATGATGATAATAGTAATGATAATAATAATGATGTAATACAATGTTAATAATGATGATAATAATAATAAGTTAAGTGAGAACAATGATAATATATAATAATTTTATTTATATTTTTTAATTTAAGCCGGTTATTTCAAATTAGTTAAGATTAAACATTAAGAACCTAGTGAATAAACGTTTTATACGGCTTATTACTATTGAATAAACGTTTTCATTGTTACCATAAGCGAAAAGTAACATATTTCTCTCATACAAAAGAAGGCCTAACCATAATGTACATACAAAAAACTCTACCCTAAATACATGCAATAATGATACTCCTTGAGCATCGGGTTTCATTGCAAGTACTTCATGCTTTGAGGACTTTGGAACTTGCTAAAGAGGAAAGGAGGAAGGTACCCTACCCGGTTTCCAGCATACACACTATCCAAAGCTAACAAAATTGTCTTCCGTTAAACATACATATAAAAAGACATTTTTAAGTTGAATTAATGTTGGGATCTTTAACAGCTCAACCAAACTTCAGTCCATGTGTATATATATATAAGGACTACTCAGTACTTGCAACTTAGTGGACTGTTGTTAAAAAGAACCTGGGGCCTGTATGTAAGAAGCATCATGCAGTATATGGTCTTCATTGATGCATGTGCTTAGGCCTATATTTACAGGCAGCAAGCTTCTTCACACACAGAATTGATTCTTTCAGCTTTTCATCTTGTATGGTTACTATGTTATCTTAATTTAGCACATTTTTCAAGTTTTGTCTTGCGCCCAAGGACAATATCTAAAGAGCTATATATATATGTACACAAAATAACGAATATAACAGAAGATTGGGACCCATCTTCTATATTATTTATAATCTATCTATATCAAACAAAAGGTTATGGCTTAAATAGTAAAATTGGAAGAGGACAAAATAGTCAAATATTAAAGAAAAGAAATCAAGTCTCTTGACTTAATAGTTATAAGACCTGTTCTTTAACATGAAAAGTTCACCAGGTACTCTCGATTCAATTCCTCTATGTTAAAATAAAATTTGATCAGCGGAAGTTGTCTTACGAACTCATATTACTCTTAGGTTTGAGATACTACATTGATTATGTCAGGAAAAAAATATAAAGGAAAGAAAATAAATAAAGTGATGACATGGGATTGAGTCATGGAGATGATAGAACGTAAGCAATCAATTCATGTGTGAATTAACATGGTTTGCCATTTCAATTTTTTTTTCTATAAATGTGTGTCCTAGTGGGTTCTTGAGAGGGTGTTTTCTTTCCCAAATATCATGGCTTATATGTTCCCGACAATGTCTGGGTGTCAAATGGGTATGATGGCCTTTCCTTAAATGGAATGTTATGTCTTGATCAGTTCAAAGTGTTACACAGAACTATGAGACCCCCCACACCATTTTCCAGATTGATCAGGACTCAAGGACACTAACATCTTTACAAACACTCCTCAACTGATTAGTCCACACCCACAATGTCACCAACTATAAAATTCAATTAAAAGTTCATCACATGACATCTAGAATTAAGTAGAAACCTGCCATTTTGTCATTACATAGACAATTCAATTTTATGAATGGGGCACTTATGTGTCCTAGTTAATGATTTGTCAGTCTCACAACTATCTATGTTGAAGGTTAAGGACACCTTTTTCTTAAAACATGTTCCACTTTCTACAATGAGTGCCACTAATTTTACTGAAAAATTGAAGTGTTCTGAATTGAAGGAAATAATTAATGCCTTTTAATTTATATAACCGTGCATAAAATTACTATGGTTTTATTGAGCATACCGAGTTGGATGTCTTTAAAAAATGGTAAAATATTTGTTATGTTTTTCTGACTTTTTTGGTCAAGGTTTCCTTTAACACCGGGATTTAATGACTAATGATGTGTTTGGAAACTCATTTGAATGGTGTTGAACTGAAGTTTTGCACATTCCAATACTTAAATAGAGAAGTAACAAGAGTGTTGGATTGAATTGAAAGTGAATTTAATTGAATGAAATTAAAAATCAAACACATGCACACTAAATCTTACTGACATCTATTTAAAAAGTTCATCATCTCTCTGACAGATATTTTATATATGCATACATGAATCGGACATCAAATCATTAACAGCATGTGTTTAAGGTTGAAGGTTATCTGCTAACTATATATATCATACTATGGTATGTTTTATCTTGATTTCATGATATTATACATGTAACGTTATTTTTAAAATAATTAAAAGGGGAGAGCAAAGAAGTGAGACGAATTGTCCTCATCAATATTGGGAGAATATCCAATGAGAAGTGAAGATTGGAAGCTCACATGGCCACGTTTGTGTTGCTATACAAAGAGTACTGGATGCCATCAAATTGGGGTACCAAAACCATGCAACATTTGTAATGAAATGACATCTCTGTTTGGCTCTCTGTGAGATATTGTTCTGTAGGTAGATATTACTGGTCATAACTTACAGCTTTTTGTTTCCTTCTGCCTTTTCAATATCTAACATTTCTTTCTTTTGCATATTGCTTTTATTTTTGCCTTCCGAAAAGTTGTTTGTTCTCTCTTCCGGGGTTCCATGCATCTTATTGGATGGCTTACAAACCAGATAAATATATTAAGGTTTCAATAAATTTCTCTAGAAGAACCTTTATGGTGTGTTTGGATGAGAAATTTTATAAATTCAAGAAATTTTAAATTCTTGATATTTAAAATACTTTGATTTCAATTTCTATCATTCTTAAAATATTTTGTTTGGATAAATCAATTCAAATTTCTCAAATTTTAAATTGTTAGGTTGGATATAATAATTTGATTCGGTGTGTTTGGATGAGGAATTTTACAAATTCAAGGAATTTTAAATTCTTGGTATTTGAATTACTTTGATTTCAATTTCTATCATTCTTAAAATATTTTGTTTGGATAAATCAATTCAAATTTCTCAAATTTTAAATTGTTAGGTTGGATATAATAATTTGATTCCACCATGATAAAATTGATTTTAAAAATATATTTATATGTTGAGATTTTTTATTTAAATTTTATAAAAATAAATATTAGCTAATTTTAAATATTTAATAATTTTAAAAATTAATATTAGATAATATTTAATAATTTTAAATAATTTTTGAATATTTAATAATTAAAAACATGAAGAGATAAGAGATAAGATAAAATATATAAGTGGAATAAGAAGAAAAAAATATGAGAAATTTCAAATTCTTACTCTTTTGAAAGAATTTGAAATTATACTATTTCAAGGAACTTCACAAATGCTTGAATTTCAAATTCCTTATAAATTTCTCATCCAAACAAGGTATTTCACCTCAAAGAATTTGAAATTCTTCAAATAAATGAATTATTCCATTTAAATTTCCCATCCAAACAATCTATTAAGAGAAAAAAAAATAAAAATAAAATAAATTTCTCGATTAAAATTAATTTATGTATAAACTAATTTGTAGAAGGTCTCTTCTATTAATTTTTTCAAAATCTTATTCTTCTTATAAACAAATTTTAACTTGTGAAAAAATTTATTTCAATTTATGGAAGTTAGAAGCTCATCCCATCAGGTTCTAACTTCTAACAAAAGCAACTATCTTCTCAACACAAATTATGTATGTGTCCCACCGTGCAAAGTGTCGTTGGGAGGCTTAAATCTGCAATACAAAACACATGGTATCATTGGTAAGTTTGGTGATTGTTCTAAATTTCTCACATCGTTTTCCAAGTGCCCAATATGGCGAAGAGGCTAGTCAAACAAATGAAAAAACTATGTTATGCGAACTCATTGCTATGCGAGTTGGAACATCTTAACTTTAAAATGTAGTGGCCCCAAATAGGACATGGTTTGCACAGTGACATAATGAGGTTTGTGTTGGAAATTGTATCAATAATGTTATGCCCCAATGTCAGAGTAAATATTTTACATAAATAATTTACTACAAAAGTACCTCATGATGCGTAATTGTAAGGCTCAATTTCAATTTCCTGTTTAATGTCAGTTATCTTCATTGAAAAACTGCTCAAAACCTCCATTTTGTTGTTATATTTGTTAATAATAGATTTTGCTCTCATGGTGGTATAAGTTTCTAACTTGATTCAACTATAGATCAAAATCCAAGAATGGGTGAGATCAGTGATCAATGCTTAAACCATATATAATTAACAAGAATATCATTAACATATGAGATATTAATTCATGCACGTCAAAAACAATCTCCCTTCTGCTTGACAATTGACAAAAGCTAGCATAAAACAAGAGATAGCATTGGAGTTCGATTAGGAAATGATAAGTGGAAGCTTTTCACATGCAACTAAGTAATGGAAGTGAAAGCCTTCATAAACATATAGAATCTAGCTAGCTAAGATGTTGAAGATGGTAAGTATATATAAATACATTTCCGTTTGATATGACCCTACTTCAGATAACAACCATTCAATCTTCTCTCTTCCTATCAAACCTTAACATCTTAACTAGTAAATTAACATAGAAAAACTAACATGATAACTACTAAAGATGGTGGTTCATCATACCTAACCGTGTGACCTAGGAGTAAGTAGTACCCAAACGAAGCTCCAGATCTAAATCATAATCTCTAGGCAAACCTATCTCCAAGTCCATCCTGAGAATCTCACCTTTCTTCAACACTTTGCACCCATCTTCCCTGGCAAAAGCATGATCATATTCTCCAACCCCAGCTGGTAAAGATTCTGGAATCTTTGACTTGGACTGCTCTGGGGTCTTGGTGCTGAAAGGGTTCAACAGAATGCCATCCACAACAACCCATGATCTCTTCAACTCAGAAGAAGGTGAAGGAGGAGTGGGAGAAACAAACAAGGGTAATGTGCAAGTGACAGGTTTGAGAGTTGAAGAAGATGATGGTAACATGGACAAAGATGAGGTTGAGTTGTTAGGGTTAGTTGAAGGGTCAAGGTTAAGGTTCAGCATAGGGCCTTGTTGAGCTTGATCAGTTGGGGGTGACTGCCTCAACCTTGCTCTATCCCTCCTATGAACATTCATGTGTCCACCAAGTGCCTGAGCAGACTTGAACTCCTTTCTGCAGAAGCTGCAAGTGTATGATCTTGGTGGCCATGGGAAGCCATTCACATAGTCCTGATCTGCATTGCTGTGAGAGTTGTTGTTGTTGTTGCTGCTGCACTCCCAACACTCTTTAGCCATTTGGTTGTGCTTGTTGTAGCAGTTGACAACATGGATGCACTCTCTTGTTGGGCTCTTGTTGGCACAAGTGTAAGTGTAGCCTTTCATCAAACTGTTCCTCTTCATTGGCCTAGGTAGCTAGCTCCTTTTCTTTGATTCCTCAGCCAGGTTGCAATGTTGTGTCTCAAAAAGAAACTGTCTTACTCAAAAATCATATCAACAAAATCTTAAAAGATGGATGAAAAAGGCTAAAAGGCTTGTGTATGTGTCTCTCAAAAGTTGCGATGTGTTGTGAGTGAATGGATGATATGAAGAAAGATGAGGGTTGAGTACTATGGATGCATTTTCTAACACACTCCTTTTAATACTTTTATTACAAGTCATGAAAATTATAAAATCATGATAGAATTATTAAATAGGATATGAGATGTATCAGAATTTATATTTTTTTAATAAATTTTAACTAATTAAAAAAGTGTAACATTTCTTTGTGAAGTATATAAGGTGAGAGAGTAGTGATAGAAGGAAAAGATAGCATCAAATTTCTAAACCAAAGAGAGGGAATCCCATTGGAGGGTACCCCTGAAAAGTCCTGTGTGTTTGGTCACTACTTGCTAAATTTGGAACCTCGGCCTGCCAGGGTTACACACCTTTATGCCATATTTCTGTCACTGGTCAAGTTAACATGACATATTCATATTTTGTTCTCGGTAAAGATCCAACCTTATTAACTCTCTCTCTCTCTCTCTCTCTGCACAGATAGAAGGAGTTTTGTACCAAACAGATGAGACTAGTATAAAAAAAGAACAAAAGTGGGAGGAGTTAATGAGCATTGGGTCATACATAGGCTTCATTACTTCCCAGTCAATCAAACGTAAATAAGGATGATCTCATGTCAAATTTTTATATACTAATTAAATTATATTTAAACTTTGTACCTATTATTATCTTTTTTAGTGATAAGACTAGATCTATTTCTAATAAAATAATGAAATTTTAATTGGGATGGGATATGTTTGGACAAGCTTTTTTATGACATTTTTTTTTATAAATTAAAATTAGTTTATATATAAATTAATTTGTAATTTTTTTTAAAGATGTTATATGTATGTTTAGATGTAAGATTAAAGTGTTTTCAGAATTTCTTTAACAAATATAACTCTTGATTGTCAATAAAAAAGTTCTTAATACTTCTATCTCATATTCAAACAAATTTTATATAAGAAAAATTTTATAAATTAATTTATACATGTTAATTTTAAGTTATAATTTATAAAAAAAATTATTTTTTTCTTCTTAGAAGTACTTTTGAATAAATTTATTCAAAATAATTCTAATTATTTATAGCAACCGCCGGAGAACAGGGCAGGTGTGTGTTTGAGATTTATTGGGATATGGCTTAAAGATTAGAGTTCTAATTTTGGAATGATCTTTTTAGCAATCAGTTATATACAATATTATTTTAAGATGAAATCATCACGCTAATAATTGAGTTCAGTCAAAGATTTTGACCATCCAAATTCTTACTTATATAACTAATATATAAACATACATCTTACATTTCACCTTGTAGAGTTTTGATATTTTTAGTTTCCAAGAAAAATTCTTTATAATAAACTAAAGGGATCGAGGTCTAACAGCTATACAGACGATGCTTACATTTTTATATATATATTTTCTCTATTTTATTCTTTATTTATAAAAAATTATTATATAATTAAACGAAAAATGTTCTACAAAAATGAAAACGAAAACAATTATTTAAAAATGTATTCCCTTTATTAATAATTATAAATTCAAACTCTAGTTTGTTTTAATAATTTAAATCTATATCAGACAATAACTTGCTTAACTTAAATTTAATTCTTACATGTAAATATTTCGTATTCTATTGTTAATAAAGGGTATTAATGTTGACATTAATATGCACATGTCAATTATTTGACTTGAAAATATGACAATGAAACAAAAAAAAATGATTTAAGTTTGGGTAAACGGTGTTTTTTATCCCGAATAAATTGATTAAATTTAGTTTTGATTATATTCCTATATTTTAAAATGTTATTTTAGTCCATTATTTCTTAACGCAAACTATAATTATTGATTTTGTATGGGTCCATTATTAAATTATTTTAGTCTCGCCTTCAAAACTTGATTTTAATATAAGCCTGTCAGAAATTTAACAATTTATATTGGTGAAACTAAAAATAAAAATGGAATGTCAGATATCTTCCTTTATTATTGGACACTTAATGGCAAAGAATTTAATTAACAATTTATGTCATTCAATATTATTAATTATCTTTGGTTTCACCAAAGATAATTAGTAATCATATATTTGGATATGAGAGTTTTGCTAAAGTAGTTTTTATGTAACTCGAACATAATTATTTTTAGTTAAATATAATGTGGTATAAACTAAAAAAAAAACTATGCTTACAATTATCTTATTTTTATATACATTAAGTTAAGGTGGATTAGTGTAAAGTTATGACCGAAAATATCACGATCAACCTAATAAAAATGAATTATTTCTTATTAAAAAATAATATATCGATCATTAATTATTCGCTTAACCATATAGAGGTGGACAAGGTTGTCCTATGGACCAAAGTATATATCGAAAGCTGTATTAAAATAGCATATAATGTATCATTCAATAACTTATATGAATATTTGTAATTCATAAGAAAAATGAAAATATAGAAATTGATATTTTCTTTAGTTTTGGAAGTTGACCAAAGAATTCTCGTTCTATATTATTGTGTATTTTATATGGTTTATATTCCTTTCATCTTCATGTGGTCCTTATTATATACTTCATTATAATTGAATTTGCAAAGTATCATTTTCAGTCAGTATTTTAGTTATAGATTAACAATTGTCGTTTTTTTTTTATTGATGCTGGACCCTTTATGTTATAATTGGTGTACATTGTTGATGCCCTTTTTGTTACAGTACGATGACTACTAATTTTGAGTAACAAGCCAACAAAGTAGCTAAAACTTGCTGAATCTCCGCTTCATATTTAGTTGATTGCATCAACCATCGTCAAATAGTTTATTTTTTAACAACCCTTAATCTAAATTAAATCAATTAATATAACAAAATATATAATAATTTTCAAATTTTATAAAAAAAATTGTGAGTTTATATCTTTATTAAAAAAATTTAATTTAACAATTAAATCATTTAAATTTAATGTACATAATAAATTATTAAGTTTTGAAGTAAGTAGATTTCTCCTTTTGCAACACCCTTATGATATAATGTCTCAGTGGTTCTGCTCTACAATATTTCACATGGTGAGATATTGCATAACTCGTTGTTGATCAAATGATTTGTGATTGAAATATTTGGTCGCCTTTAAGATCAATGACAGTTCCTACAAACCAATACAAAAAAAAAATTTGGCATGCTCTATCTTTACTTGAACTTTCTGAGAAACTTTTTTGGATATCAGTGTCTCTAAATTACTCTAAGTTAATAAAAAAGTAGATACATCTTATTAATATAGATAATACTAATTAATCACTTCAAATCATTCTTAATTGTATAGTTTTACACTTATAAATCTCTGGATATTTTTTATTTTGGTGTGTCTGACCACTAGTTCTATATATCTAACTTGATAAGTTTGGCATTTATAATGTTAGAAACTTGCTAGAAAATCGCATATTTTGCTAAACGGAGAGTGTTGACCCCTTGAGCATTTTCACATGGAAGTTTTTGTTCCTACCTTGACAGAATGTGGTTGTTATATAAAGAACTTGATTCCATTGAGGGTAACATGACTCTGACTGAAAATAGGAAGACTAGTTAAGATACCATGGCACCAACAAGGAAGCAAGTTTGATGAATGAAGCCTAGAGAGGCAAAAGATCCTGCTATATCTAACCCATATTTACCAAAAGACTCTTATGCTTCAACACATTTCCATACATGTGTCCCATTTTCTTAGGTTGTGTGGCCGAAATTGCAGGGTATACCCTAAGTGCAAGGAGGTGCCGTCTCTGCCACTCATTCTTAATTAAATTTCTAGAGACCATAAAGCATGGTACATTTGTTGTTGGGTCATGAGCACTACCCTAGCTACATCAGTAGCTATATATTATATATATTGTAGCAGGATCTGTCTCAAGTTTCAATAATATTAATAATAATGAATAGTGGTTACCATATTTATGTTTGACAAAAAAGACGAACAATAAAGAGTCCAGGTTGAATGTGTGTATATAACAAGACTATGAGTTGCTACTTGCTAACATAAAAAGTTGATGTGTGCATGCATGCATGCATGCAGTCTTATCATCAGTGCTTTGACTTGGTGTGTTCGTCATAGGGTTGAACTAAATTTGAATGGACAGAGGAAATGAAGCTGGTTCAGTTATAATTAAGTCTGCACTGAGTGAATTCAAAAGCTCTTTTGTAAATAGTGATATGACTCAGACTCACCAAACCTTTCGTTGCTTCATATGTTAACACCCTTTTTTAGCAACATCATTGGATAACCAGTAACGAGTAAGGGATAACGTATATAGGATGTGTTCCAATGCAATCAACTTTTTAAGATTATATAACTGCATTTTTTTCATTCATGTTGTATGATTTTGTGAATTTTATTATCTTATTTTTTAAATGCATATATTGTTATTAATTTTAAAAATTTTACACATTTTATTATTTTGTTAGTTGATTATTTGATATTGTTATTTGATCATTGTCGAAATATATTAACTATGAACATGAAATATTAATTGTTGATATACCATATTGATTATTGACAATATTGACTTGACCTAATTATATGATGATGTGATATAATGTATCACATTAACAGCATGTTATATTAACAATAAATATGTCATGTAATAATGATCAATTAATAACGTCATTAGACAATCGATTAATGAAGTAACAAAATAAGCATAAATTTTAAAATATTGTGGGACTAAATGCATAATTTCAAAAATTAGATGATAAAATTTAGATGACAAAAAATATAATTAATCTTATATTTTAAAATATCAATTAAAATATTGTGCTTACTATTCCAACCATATATATGGACCATACAAGTTATTTGATTTTATTTTATTCTAGTCCATTAAAATTGTAAAAATTTATAATATTTCACACATCATATCCAACTAACTAAACTACACTTGATTAGTAGTTATTTTGGTGTTCCATATTGAAGTAGTAATTAAATTAAAAATTGATGATAATAGGAAATTAGTTATTATGTGTAAATTTTTATTTTTTTTATAAACCAAATTCAATAAATTAAAAGAGTATAGAAATTAGAAACTATAAATCTATATAACTAGAGCAGAAGTTTAAGGAACACCTAATTACACGGTTTAAGACATTCAAGAGGATGAATAAAAAATTGAGTGTACTTTATTTCTATTTTCAAAAGTTGTTTTTAAATTAAAAAAAAATAAACACTCACACTAACCCTACGTCTCATCAAATGCAACATCACTTCAGATAATAGAACATATATAATAAACATATTCTTGAACTAGAACATATAAAATAAGAAGAGAATATTATTTCTTTTTTTAACACTTATTTTAATTAGAAACAATTGTCAAAGCTTAAAAAATTTTAAACGGGTAATTGATTGGTGAGTAATATAAAATTATTTTTTTACACCATTATAAAATTCTTTTAGAACAAAGTTCTAAAATTAATTAAAAAAAGTAAACCAAACATCCCTTAATAGTACTTCTGATCAAGAATTTTTAAATCATGTTCTGGTGAAGGTCGGCAAACTTTGTGATTGTTTAAACACTGGACATTTTCGTGGATAACTACATTAAGTTACAAAAAATTTCTCAAGTATTGAGGAATCCATGGATACCAGATTGAAGGAATTCTTTTGGCTAAAAATGCATTAAAAACTAAGATATCAAATGGATCAACAAGAAAAGAAACTACACAAAAGATAAGAAAATAGTTCTGAAAATAGAAGCAAAAAGAAGACAAAACAATTTACATACTGTTGCTGTTGTGTCAGCCGCTCGTGGTTGCACACCTTTCAGACCCACGACCCTGAATTTAATTATAAATTCATATTTACTAATCACGTTTTTCTACTAAGCAATTCAGTATCAGACAAGAATTTTGAATGGTTCTTATGTATATATACAACACAATCACATACCAGCCACCACGAGGAGCATCAGAATAGGAGCTAGGGTCCATGGGATCCAACTCATCATCCTCTGTATAAGCACGTTTCTTGCCCCCTTTTCTACTTCCCTTATCAAATGGAGGTTTCGAACTGAACCTGGACAGAGAAATTGGGATCAATACGTCCTTTATGGCTTCAGTAAAGAAAAGCTCAAAGATTTCAAGGAAAAATATCTTATAAAATAACTAATGAGATCTCTTCAATAATCTTCCATGAAATCTAAAGCTGAAGCAAATAAATATATAATTTTTCATCATTTCTAAATGCTAAATCAACCAAAATTTCAGTTTAAGATAGATGTAATGTAATTTTAGTGGAATTTTGATGAAAGAGATTGTATTTGATTCTCTGAAAAATCCTCTTTCATTGAAAACTATAATGGATACAACGTGCAACAATGATAGTTTTCTTCTCAAAAGTTCACTTCTCTTTATTTGTCATCGATCTTTTTTCATAGAATGCAAATTCCACTATTGAACTCTAAACAGTAGTTTTTTGATACGGAAGAGAACCTAAAAGAGAAGTATATTTGCAATACAAGTTTTAGTAATCACAAGCAGACTAAAGATTTTTCATGATGGTAGAAAAAGAAAAGTTCTAAACGATGGATAGAGGAAATTGAAATTTAATGAAATCACTAGAGGTCATGCCCCAAGGATAGCAGCAATAAAATTGGCCAGATAACATCAACTGAACAGCAATAAAATTAGCCAGATAACATCAACTGAACAGCAATAATTGGTTGCTAACAATTTAATAGCACTAAGATCTTCATACAAAACTATACCTCTGTTTGCTAGCGTTTTTATCAGAATTTTCACAGGGATGTGCAGCACTTCTTTGCTGATTATTCACATTTGAGGACAAATATTGACATTGTGGAAGATTCAAAACTCTGCATTTGTTCATTTTTTTGATAATAAAAACCAAAACATAGATTAGAAACAAACATTTGCAGCTAATTCAGAAAATAAACATTAGGAAGCAGAAAAAATTTAAATTCTTGTATCTTGTTCAAGGTACGACAACCAATGTATGATTTAGGTAACTTTGGTATAAACTTGTAGCCGAAACAATGCAAGAATTCTCCAAAACTATCATGTTGTTTGGTTGGGATAATTTCTGAAGAAACAGTTGTCATTTTTTAAAAGCTCTCTCTGGAAAATTGCAAAAATAAGCAATTATTTCTTACTTATTTTTGCCATGATTGTCAAACATATACTAAGCCTTAGTCAGTAATCACTCTCTACCTTGTGCAATGATTGCAGTGACCCCATGCTTGAACAAGGCCAACACCCCAACCACCGCATTGCATGCAACGTGGTAAATTAGATGATTGATCATACCCACCACCAACAGACAAGTCTGAGTGATCCGAGACAACTTCCTGAGTTAAATTAGGTCGCTCCCATTGTGATACATGAGTTTTTGTATTGTAGTAATACTTATGACCTGAGGTAATACAAAGAATGAATTGATAAATTATAAAATTCATAAAACAGTGGCAAAATATATACGAAAATTTATAACCCAAATACAATCAGATCATGGGTAAACTAACCAAACAAACCACTCTAAAATTCATTTTGCAAGTGTTAAAACATTATATTTCTCTGAGAATAAACTAAAATATATACTGAACCAGATGGCAAACAATACATTGTGTAGGAAAGAAGTCCATCTTATTGCAATGATTATGGTACTTTAGGATATTTTCTGTATTCAGTTTTCTTATAAATAAGATCAGATTTTCCTGATTTATTAGAAGCAGAAATCACTGATTTTATAGGGATTCTGCCTAGGATCATGGCTGTAAATCCATCTATATTTAGTTTAATTTCCTGATTTATTAGAAGCAGAAATCCCTGATTTTATGGAATTTCTGCTAGAAATCCAGCCATATTCAGTTTAAATAAGTTTGTAATTCATCTTATTTTCACAATGAGAATAAATAGTATAAGAGCCGACTTTCTGAAAACCCAATTTACAAAATCACTATTGTCAGCCTCTCCTCATCATGACCAAACATGGCCAGCCCATTCACCAAGGAGCAACTTGAGGCAATGAAGAAACTATGTGACCAAACATTACTCACGATTTGAATTGAATGACTTAATTCTATCCAAATTTGTGTGAATTTCAGGCAGCAGATTCGGGGAGGATGATTGGCTGTGCTGAGCCAAGTGGTGAACTTTATTTGATCAAAGAAAGTACTTCAGCTCACCATAATGTTCCCTCTGCAAGTTCTGTTTTTCAATCTGTTTCGATGTCTAATGAAAATAAAATAATGTTATGGCATTTTCATCTCAGCCATCCATATTTTGTCTATCTTGAAAGGTTGTTTGCTCATTTTTTCAGTAATAAAATGATAAGAACTGGATCAGAAGTTTTAAAGAGACCGGAAAATTATTGATTGCACGTAAACTGAATCACAGGTTTTCAACAGACCTGCACTCTCCCCAACAATGATCAAATGTGATACCCACTCCTAACTCTTAGTCCTCTGTTATAACACCAACCTCCACTAGTAACTAACTAATTGTAATTTGTTATTAATTATTTCTGTTACAACTGCACAAGAGCCTTATGCCCCTGGACCCCTTATTTCTCCTACTATAGATCCTCATAATAGGAAGTCTCCCCTAAAGAATCCACCTTGTCCTCAAGGTGGAATTGATGAAAAGCAGCTTGAATATCTCCTGCTGACTCCCAACTGGCCTTGCAAGTCGGTAGCTTCTTCCACTTGACTAACACTTCCATCCATCTTCCCTATGTTGTCAGCTTGAATATACCTTTTTCCCTCTCACCATTGAAGACTTCTTGCATTTTTTCCGTAGCCCAATCCATTTCTTCATAGTAGCCCATGGCTAGCTTATCATAAGAATCCACCAAACACAACACTAAAGGGTAAAACACCCCTTAAACAATTCAAAACACCCTTAAAATGTCCTTATCAATGAGTAAATTTTCAAAAAAATTCCCTATTTATTCTTTGCAAATTGACTATCCTTCTTGGATATGAACATCTTAACCAATGTTTCCTTATTTTCATTCAAGCATCCCAGACACAAGTAAGATGTGGCAAATCATGTAATGGAAGGTCTAATCAAATCACATTCTCCTATGGTAAAATGATGCAACAAAGAAATGTCATTCCTAGAATAAATGTAAGTTATGATTCTTTTACCACTTACAATGGTCTTTTTATGGCAATGTAAGGTGTCCTCTCCAATAAATTTATCTCCTCTTCATCAACATTTCTCCAACAGCATTGTAATTTGTTTGATTGTCCTTGAATGATAATAAAGTTTGTGAGTAAGTAATTTTTTTTGATAGGCAAATGATAATTGTTAATTGTTAGTGGGGGGATTCGAACCCACACCCTCCTTATCACTCCAACCCTATATCCCTCCCCCCAAACCAAGACAATTAGCGAGGAATATCCATCTTTCTGCCAAATAGGATGTATTTAACTCACAAGTCATTATATACTTTTTTATGAGTGTCAACTACATAGTGTATGTAAATTGCTCCAGGTTGTTCAATTGTATGATAACGAAAATTATTCATTGATAAATGATCACTATGAGTCGGACTCAAGAATTTGTTCAATCATTTCTTTCTGTCGTTAAGGCAGAAAACTGAACAAATAATTCTCTTTCCTTATGATCAAAAGAATCAATGTTCGAGACCCAAGATTCTATGTTATCATCAATCCAATCACTATTCCTGTTTTTTATTTTTCTTATCAAGGTATAGATTGTTTTACTTGTAAGCCACCATCTTACAATAATATTAAATTCTAACAGAATTTAATAGATATAGGATATAAAGAGATGGGGATAGACAACTTGGAGTACATGTAGTCATTTTGTTAGGCACCCAATTTACAAGCAGTCAATAAAAAGATTAAACAAAGAGAATTGTATTAATATCGATGAAAGAAAAATTCAGCAGGCAAAGTTCCTACTGCCGCAGAGCAATGCTCCTTCAGAGAGCTAGTGCTCTCTGCCCATAACAAAATAACCGATTCACATCCAAAAAGGTACCCTCTCTCTCTCTACTCATTTCCTATATGTGGAAGAACGTATGTAAAGGATTTTGATGATGCCAAAGAAATTGTAGAAAACAAGAGGTCAAGTTAAAGCAAGGTGATCAAGAAACAAGAATCTCAGTATTTTAGATAAGTCTTGTCAACCTAGCTTTATATGTAAAAAGAAATCTTTAAAAATATTGCATAAGATTCTTGGCCATTTAAAATAAAGAATTTCAAGAAAACCCAAATATAATCTTTTATATTAATAAGGTTTTGAAAATAAAGGTTTTCTATATTTTGTTTTAATAAGGTAATTATTGTTTTTAACAGTCTGGTAATCGATTACTAGTACATGTAATCGATTACTAGTACATGTAATCGATTACCAGAGAATGAAACTCATATGATTCAAAATTTACTTATTAAAACGTGCTCTGGTAATCGATTACCAGAAGATAAAAATTTCAAAGTTTGAATTTAAATTTTACAACGTTCCAAACATTTTGAAAATAAACCGTTATAATCGATTACCAAGTGTTGTAATCGATTACCAGAGCCTATTTTCTGGAAAATTTTAGAAAGGCACAACTCTTCATGAAAAGTCATGACCTATGAAACAATCATCTATAAATACCAATAATTTTTCAGAAAAAGGTTACGAACTCAATTGTGAAAAATTATCTTTACAATCACTTGGCCAAAAATCATTTGCAAATATTATCTAAAGAGTTCTACTAGATCAACAAAGTGTAAAATCCACTCTTCAAGTGACCTTGGCACAGTGTTATATCAGGGGTGAGCACGGCCTGAGATTGTTAAATGGGTAGCGTGACCTTGGCATAGTGTGAAGTGCAAGATTTGTGATGATTGGTGTGATTGAGAATTATGACGTGATGACGATGTATGATTGATTGAAATACGATATGTTGAAATATTTATGAATATTAAGTTATAATGAGATAATATGTTGTGTTTTCTTATGTGCTATATATATAGATGTTTTTTTTCTCACCGTGCGATTTGTGGATATTTTAGGTGAGGAAGATCTGACTACGAGTGACATCTAGAATGCTAATGGTTGAGTTGTGGTTATGCTCTGATATTGTGACATCGGGGCAGAGAATTTTCTTTAGGACATAGATTGTTATATGAAATTAGAATTGTAAATATTATTTTTAAAAATCATTTGTAAACTCTCACGTTTCATTTTTATCGTTGTGGTTATTGAAGAATAATTTTGAAGATTCTCATGTGAACCCTTTTACCGAAATAGAGAAATTATTTTTGTTAAGTTTTCATTATTACAATATATGTGTTGGGGTAGTAAGGGTGTCACAAATTTAGTTTGAATTATGTATGATTTTAAATGGTTTTGGCAAGTTTTTTTTTTCTTCCTTAAATCTCTCTATTTTTTAAAAATCAAGAAAATTTAATTTGCTTATATATCAAATTCTCATTTTCATTCAAAAATTTCACAAACCGAACCAATCAAATTACTTTTAAACTTTCTTCAGCTCGAAGCCCACTAAAATACATAAATTTCATCCAAAAATAAATAAATCAAATGTCAACTCATCAAATTTCAAATTTTGATATAAAAAAATTACTAAATTTCTGGATTTTAAATTTTTTACATCATTTCATTTCCTGAAAAAAAAAATTCATTAAAATCCAAATACTTGAATGTAAAATAATGATTGGAGGGTTTAAGTTAATTATAAAACAAAATAATGATAAAGCATATTTACTTAATTTTAAAAATAGAATCACTCAATTGACTGAAAAAGAAAATGAGAAACTACAAAAACAACTACAAGTACAATTAAATGTAAAAAGAAAAAAAGTTGTCCGCAAATAACATTATTGTTTAATACATATTTTTATTTTGACAGCATCCAGTAACAATGTGTTAACTAACTTGATATTAAAATTTAGAATTTGGGTTTTAGTTTATTTTTAAGATAGTTAATATAATAGTTACTTTTTTATTATATTATTAATACGAAGTATTTATTTATCAGATAATTAATTTTTCTCATAAAACATGATTGACTGCTTTTTTTAGAAGGAGTCTCCACTCTCAACTATGATATAGTTAAACTTGATACCTTATTTAAGAACACTAAACTTAGTATTACTTAGAACATGACTTGTCTGCATAATTAACTTTATTTAATGATTTGACAATGAATAATTTTGGATGATAATATAAACAAATTTACATCAACAACTTGAGAAACTTGGGTCATCCGAAAGCCCATCATGTGTTTGCCCATACTTATTTCATTTGGGTCAACATCATAATAGCCCTAGCAAAGTGAAACTCTTCAAATGTAGTAAGTTTGGTATGTGTTATAACCTTTCCAAAGGAAAACGACACATGACCTATTCACTATGCTTTTGCACATAAAAATAGGCACAATTCTAATCATTTTCCATAATCATCACTGCATTTGGTAATCTCCAACACATTATGGGATCAACAATAAACACACTAAGTGACCTTCTCTCTCCATTAAATTCAATATAACTCCATTACCCTAATAATTTCAATTTTAATCTCATATCATTAGATTCATTATTTTTAAGGAACATTAACAAATTAACAAATATTTCACAAATTAGAACAAAGTGAGACAGATTCATTATTAAAGAAATTGAACCTAAAAATACGAGTAAAAAATGTTATTTTTATTTTTATTATATGAATGGTTAAGTAAAATTATGTTGATCTTAAAAAAAAGTAAAAAAAACAATGAAAGCAACTTTTCTTCCCTGATTAACTATGATAAATAATCTTTAACTTGAATGGTTATTAAACGATCAAGATTAAACGTCGAAAAGTTACACTTCAAATAAATGGTAAAAAAAAAATTATATTAAGTATATATTAAAAAGAAATTGCAAAAAGGAACTATAATACTAGCCCACATATAAAGCAAACTCTATTTTTTGGTCCAACGACAGATATATTATAGCGAACAAAATTAATCTTATTGTTGTAGTAGGTTGAGAGATACTTATGACAACTAGTAAAAAAAAAAAACATTGTTTTGCAATCAAAAAAGAGAAGATTCACATGAAGTTAAATCAGCGCTGATATAGTTAACAAAATTAAATGCATCCATTCCATTGAAATTAGGTTTTATAAAATAACTAATAAGGTTTTATATAATATAAATAAATAAATAAAAACCTTTTATTTAAAGTGAGTCGAGTAGCTGTGTATATCATAAATAATCACAATAAGTAGCCATAATTATAGTTTTTTCACATCTATTTATCTAATATCTATCAAATTCTTTTATTTATGTGTTGATTAATTTTTTTTTCGGCCTAAAATATCAACACCTCTAAGACTTCATCAAGATCATCAGTCTTCTTTCACTTTTCGGTTCTTGCCCTTTTATCATTTCAGATAAATTTCTCTTGTGTTGAATATTAGGATTTCAAATTAATTGTGTTTGGATGAAAAATTTTAGAAATTTAAAATTTTTAAATTTCACATTATTTTAATTGTAACTTTTATCATTTTTTAAAAGTACTTTTAACTAATTTAATTGAAAATTAGTTAAAATTATTTAGTACCATTTTTTCCATATGGAAATGTGGTCTTATTTTTTGTTTTATTTCATGTTTCCAAATATTTATTAAAAAATAATAACACAATATTTTTCCATTATCTTGAATAAATCTTAAAAACAAAGAATAAAGTAAAAAAAAATTAAAACATCACTTTTGGTATTATTTTTTTATTATACTTTTTTTTTAAATATAGAAATTTGTGATGAATTTAAAACCTATTGACAGTTAGCAAGGGACACATTCTATCACAAATTAGAGAGAACGGAAATGTTTTTATATTAACGAGTGAAAGAGTATTTTGTGAGTCACTTTATAATGTCAAATAAGAGGAAGAGGGGAACATAGGCTTAGATAATAGTAGATTTTAAATGATAATTTATTCATATTATTTAAAAATATTTTATATTATATTTAAGGTTTGAATTTTTTCGTGTATGCAAATATTTCATTTTTTTTCCTTTGAATCAATGTATTTTTTTTTTTCATTTTCCGCCCTTGCAATTTTCTTTTCCATTTTTAGTTCTATTAAATTCTTTTCCTTTTTTCAATTCCTCTACATAATAATGATATGATGTTGCAAGTTACATCAACTTTCTTTTTGTTATTAATATTACACTTTCTTGTTAACATTCTGGTGATGAATTGATACATAATATAACATTATTTTTAATTTATTGACTTGACAAATAATGACATATTATGTAAGCAATTTTTACATTTTTTTAAGAATGTTTAGGGTTTAGGATTTAGGGTTTGACATAAAAATTA